GCTCGCATGAATTTAGTATGAATTTTGTCGCACTTGCAAAAATTGCCTCGAAATCTTGCAAGTGCACATAGCATGTTTGAGCAGTGCCTCAGGAGGATGTCTTGTTTGGTATCTGGGTACCGGCAGGGTGTATCTGTTCGGCATATCGGCGGTTTTCATGCTTTTGTGAGCAAGGTGGATATGCCACAGTCCAGAGTGAAAGATGAAGCTCGCAGCATCAAAACCATCCTCACTGCGCACAAACGACCCATCCTCAGAAGTCTGCATGTGTGTGTGTGTCTGTGCGTGTTGCAGGTCAGTCAGTGTTCGCCATGATTGTTATATGTATCTTTATGTGTGCTCTGGTTATGTGCATCTGCTTGGGTATCAGATAGGTTTCCCAGGCTTGGCTGAGCGTTCCGAGCAGCAACGTGATCCGGAAGTGCACAGCTTGACCGAGTCCTGATTGCATGCTCTGAAGTAGGATAAGCTACATGCTGTTGCAGCTTGTTTTATGAGGAGCATTTTTAGCTGATGCTGAAGTTGTGGTTGCTGCTCAGGAGCTTGTCCGACAGCATGAGAACAATCCCCAGAATGTTCGGTTCATGAAGAGAAGTCGGGCAAAGTCGTCGCGATCTTCCTTTTCATCGGATGGGCGATCGTCGGAGGTCCCAGCGGAACTTCCGGAGAACAATGATGATGGGCCTGAGGTGTTGGAGGATGAGGAGCCTGAGGAGATGTTCGAGCTCGACGAAGAGCTCCGGGAGCCTATCACGGAGGAGGAAGCGGCTACGACTTTCGAGCCGAACTCGTTGCTCAAGCACGTGCCGCAGGAGACGATGGCTCTTGTAAAGGATGACGATGAGGAGATGAGTGACGGCATGATTCGTTCTACCGGCTCCAGCTCGACCCCGAATTTACCTACGCCTGTGATTCCTATCGCCACGCCGTGCCGTTCTATGTCGATGAAGCCGACTGTGGACAAGTCTATCATCATTGACTCTCCTGAACCAGCTGTGCCCACAGGCTTTGTATGCTCGCATGTTGATTTACATGATTCGCAGTTTGTCCATGGCAACATGCACTCTGTCTTGTATGCGCATCAGTTGCTTGACTTCTATATTCTTTGCAAGGCAGACCTCCAAAGAATCCACATCTGGTTGCTCTGAAGAAGAAGCTTGCTGATGTTGTGGCATCACAGAAGCAAAAGAAAGCGGAGCTGGCTAATCCAAAGAAGACCCTGGAGCTTGAAATTGCAGCACCGTGCTTTGTCTGACAAGCCTGCTAGCTGAAAACACGAAAACAATCACCACGCAGCAAAGCTATACAACAGTGCAAATCTGTGCAATGCCAGCAATCCTTCACATGCACTGCTTCTTGTCTTGGTGCAGGGTCATGCTTGCTGCTTGTGCATGTGCAATGTAGTGACAGTCTTGTTTATGTAGTGTCAGTGATGCTGCTTGCTATTTATCAAATTCGCTGCTTTGTGGTTGTCGCCCAGTGTCTTGAACCCGTCCGAGCTCGAAACCCAGATCGTGGATGAGCAAACAATGGAGGCACCTGGGACAGAGCAATATAAGCAAGGTGTACAACTGCATGCTCTGGCCTGTTCGTTACTATACTTGACACGACCGAGGATGCTGCTAAGCAGCTGGAGATGTCCTTGCTCAACCAAGAAGCACAACAGGAGGACTTACACTTGTTGCTGCAGAGTTACCGTAGTCTGGCTTGTAGTAATGCCAGATCAGGACCCGGAAAATGATGCTGAGTGACTTGCCTGGGTGTCATGTGTCAGTGCACATGTAAGCATGGAAATGAAATGATGCTGATGTATCCTGCTTGTTACTTGCTAGTGAGCTAGTGCTTTGCAGTCTTCCAGCACTGTGGGTCAAAGCTTGATTTAAAGGTCAGATGCAACAACTTTGCAGCTGGGAGATCATCTGGATCGGGATAATGACGAGCTACAGGCTATCGAAGATGGAGAAGCCGCCAAGGAAGCTGAGATCCTGCCGGCAGCAGATGTCATCCCTGCCCCTATCTTTCTCTTGACCCCCTCACCTAAGAAGGAGCGGGAGCAGCTTGTCAGTCCCCCACCGGAGGTGCCCAAAGCTATCCCAAGTTCATGGAACAGCCCTGTTGCGGCGGGGCCTGCACGAACCCCGACGACTGTCCACTTCTCGCCTCTTGATGCTGACGGCAAGCCCTTGAATAGACCCAGCCCGCCCTCTGCTGTATCTTTAGAGTTGGATGGTGAGCCATTGTCAGAACCAGCAGCATCCCCACCAAAGCCGGTCCTCACCCACCAGCAGCAGGTGACCCTCCGCATAATGAAGCGTCCTGCTGCAAAGGGCGCTGTGGGAAGGGGAAAGGGTGCTGCAGGCAAAGGCAGAGGACCAAGCAACCAGATCACCGAGGAGGTTGAGGAACCCCGAGCTACTTTGGATGCTTCCCCAGTTGCCGACGACGCCAAGGATGCTAAACCCAAGTGTACTGCGAAAGGGAAGGCCAAGGCTAAGGCCAAGCCAGTGCAGCCAGAACAGGAGGAAGGATTGACCGGTAGAAGCTCGAAGGGGAGGGGAAAGAAGGACTCTGCCCCTTCGCAGGAGAAGGAAGGACAGGGTAAGCAGGGGAAAGGGATGGGAAAGAAGGGGCAGAAGCCTTCAACGCATACAGCTGAAGAGCCAAAGCCTGTGGACAACAAGAGAAGGAAGACCCAATCCGAAGAGCCTGATTCTGCATTGCCCATGTCAGAGCCATCGGCCCCATCGAATCCAGCAAAGCAGGGACGGAAAACACAAGGCGATGAGAGCAATCACAAGCGCAAGCATCAGAACAAGCGGGGTGAGAATGAGCAAGGAGAGAAAGGTGGAGAGGAAGGTGGAGAGGAAGGTGGAGAGGAAGCAGCTACCACGACGGTCGCCAACGTCCAGCTTGTCACAGACAAGGAGAAAGCAAAGCTGAAGCTGCCTCTTGATAACAACCTGCCTACTGTTGTGACTGCAGCTGTTGTAGTGTATGCTGATCCCTATTTGCTATTGTTGTTGCTGCTGTTGTTGTTGTTGTTGTTGTTGTTGCTGTTGTTGATGTTGTTGGTGTTGTTGTTGCGGTCGCTGCTGCTGTTGTTGTGTTGTTGTTCTTGCTGCTGCTGTTGTTGTCGTTGTTGTTGATGTTGATGTTGGTGTTGGCGGTGCTATTGGGGGTTGTTGTTGCTGCTTGTGCTTTGTCCCGCTCCTGCTGCTGCTGCTGCTGCTGGTGGTGTTGGTATTGTCGTCGCAGTTGCTGTTGCTGCTGCACAAGTGATGGGTGTCACTGTTGCTGCTGGTGCTGCTGCTGCTGCTGCTGTTGGTACTGTTGTTATCGTCGCTTTTCACGTTGTTATGTAGACCGTTGCGGGCTGTCAAGATGTTGTTGGCAGTCAAATGCAGTATGATCTTCTCTACGCATCAGTGTGCCTTGTGAAGATTTGTGCATGTGGTGTAGTCTGCTCGCATATCTCAGGCTAATCGAAAACACCGAATACTACCGGCTGGAGGTGTATTGGAAGGGGTCTGCCCCAAAGGTGGGAATCAGGAACAGGGCGACTGGCAAAAGTTGCTTCACATACAGCTTCGTCTCCTTCACCATCCTCATTCATCTGGCCAATGAAGTTGTGCCTTGCTGTTATGACAGACATGTCTTTCAATCAGTGTATGTGATATAGTAACCAAGAAGTTAATACTTCTTCGTATCGTGTTTGCACGTGTGCCCTTTGGGGGAATCGGTAATTCTATTTGAGGCATGGTTCTTGGAGAACCATGGAGAGGACAATTGGCAGGCTACGGCTACCTTTGCACAGCAGGCCATGGGTCGCCTTCTAGACGAGTTTGATATCCAGCTCAAGGCTAAGAAACCGCTGGTTTAAAGCTCCTGTTCAGACTGAGAACAACATATCTTAGCGCACGCAGGTTTCCTCTGGGACAGCAGACATACATTGTGGATTCTGTTGATCATATAGACTAATGCTTTCAGGAAGACATGTTCTCTGCAGGGCTTTGAATGCAGTGGCATTTTGCTATCTCTGGCTGATGTATAGCTTAGACTGTAGTGTGAGCCAACTATGTAGAATCCAGGTCGGGGGGCACAGGAAACTGACCTCAAGCAATTGTTCTGTCAGGAACTGTGCAAGACCTGATTGTATAGTTGCAAACATGCTCAGACGGCTATGTCTTGTAGGCCAACAGTGATCAGTGCTGCTGTCGTGTCAACACGATGGGCAAATGGGACCAAGCACGATGTTGCTTGCTCATGACTTTTGGGCCAACTCTTCCGCGTGGTATCCAAGTGCAGTCCAAGGCACATGTCTAGGTGCTGCTGCATGGACGACCAAAGATCCTGATGTGCGGAGCGATGCGAAAATTTCGGCACTAGCTACAACTTCATTTGTGAATGCTTGCATGGACGCCCTTGCCATATACAAAGATATCATGCTTTGCTGAGGTCTTGCTCATGCCGCGCTCGCGGGTGCCCTTGCAGCGATGCTCGAGTGAGCCGTCATGTTTCATTTCCTTGATTCTTTAAGCTCTTCTGGGTTTGTCAGTTTACCTGATCGCTCATGTTGTTGCTGATTGCTCTTGTGCTGTATCAGGTTTCATGTTGTCTTCAGCTGCCAGTCTCGAAGTTAGTGACAGTTAGTGCAGATTTTTTCGCATTGTGACAATATGCTCATGCGAGAGCGGGCATGGAGCCTTGGCCAACTGATCTTGCGAATGCGACGAGCTTCTATCCCCAAGGCTCTTTGCTCGGATTGATTGGCCAGTGTGGTGCCGACTGCCGACTTTCTGTGTAATGATTAATATATATCGACTGAATGAGGTGCTTATGCTATGTGTCATCTTTATGTACTTCACGCACGACTTCTGCTTGGACAGGGATGCTTGGACTGACTGTTTATTGTATTCGGGAGCCGTTGCTTGCCTTCTCAATCTTTCAAACACAATCCTTCGATGCTTGTATATGCTGGCTAGGACTGGCGAGTGGTGGAGATGTTCGCTGGCCACGCCAACTTGACCTACGCCTTACGCAAGTTAAACTTCAAGGTAGTCAACATGGATCTTTCCTATGGTGGCAAGTACAATGATTTGTCGTCAGCAGCTGGCATGGCGTTTGCCGGGTGGCAATTCCCAGTAGTATTTTTCTTCTTTAATTTCACAACTTTCGAGCCTGTGGACGGTGCTAAGAATGAGGCATTGAGGTCAACGTGTGCAGTCTTCCGGTGTGCAGGCTTGCAGTAGCTGCTGTGCTGCGGATGGAGCCAGCTGGTTTGTTACTGCTGGCCCCAGTTTGCTCTTCTTTCTCAGACATGTGCCAAGCCCAAGCACAACGCAGCATTGTCACCCCGCTGGGCAATATGCATCACGATTTCGTTGTCAACGGGAACTTGCTCGCCCACAGGTTCTGGGTCGTGTCTAAATGTTTCAATTTAACCAGCCACGGGCAAGCTGGCACATGTCTTCATAAGTCTCTGTTTCTCTTCTCTTCCAAATCTCTCTCTCTCTCTCTCTCTTTCCCTCTCTCCCTCTCCTTTCTCTCTCTGTGTCTTGCTGCTGCAACTATATATACACACCCTGCCAGGTGTGTGCTACTTTGCCTTCTGGCTGCAGCGCTTGGTCATGTCTTCTTGTTGGAGCAACCAGCAAGTGCGAAGATACGTTTTCTGCCACGTTTCGAGGAGCTGTGTGACAAGCTGATTGTGATTTGGTTTCTTCTAATCATCAGCTTTCATTCGTTCGATTTTTCCACAAGCATTGCCTCACACATGTACCATGTGGTGATTAAGCTCCGGGCTGCCTTGGACCAGGTCTTTCGACAAAGCATCTTCATGTGCGCCTACGGCAAGGAGAATGTCAAGCCCACCATGATTTGGAGCAACAGCAGCCTCATCCACGAACTGCAATCTGACAAGGCATTGCTGAAGGCTACTTGTTTCTCAGTGGTTACCGTCGAGTATGTCGGCTTGTACAAATTTGTGTCTTGAGATCGGAGAATCATGGTACGATTGAGCTGAGGAATACAAGAAGACAGCACAGCCACTAGTGCAGCGAAAAGTGGATTCTACGGGCACCAAACGGTTCACTGGTGTGCAGAAGAAGCTCAAACAATCTCAGTTCCAGCCTCAAGTGGCGAATATGATATCGAGGTAATGTATAAGCATAGCAAAAGGATTGTCCCTACAAATTCCTGCTTGCTCCAGGTGCTACACTTGTGCCTATGGCTACAAAATCGGGGAGCTGCTGCCCAGGTTGTCAGAGGGTGTGCACGGTTTCCGGGAGACGGCACAGGAGCCATGTTTCTTTGCTGTCGAAGTACTTGCTGGCTAGTGCTGTAAAAGTGCAGAGTGATCGTTACACAAAGGACACGGAGCCTACAGTTGTGGCTATGCTGGCTGCTTTTAAAGATTCTGATACCTGGGCCGATGCGAGGATGCCGGAGGTATGTGCATACCTACGGGGTTGCAAGAAGCTGCAGCTTCCGCAATCAATGCGAGATGCTCTCTCCCTCTAGCTGAGGTCAATTCATGTGACATGCAATGTTAATTACTTACGACGAGCCTGCATCGACAGACCCTCGTGTTCCTGCGTTGGAAGATAAACAGGTCTGAAGGTTTGGGGAAGGTGCATGCTCGGCTGGCTCATTCTGTGTTGTATGATAGTAGGTGGTGCAAGATGTTCTGTCTGACTTGTGTGTGTTGTGGAAAGAAGTTCTGTCTCAATTGGTGTCAGTTGATGCACCAACCCAGGCGGTGAAAATCATACGACCAAGCATCCAGACACATACACACATGCACCCACACCCACACAGTCAAAAGCACATACACCCAAACAGAGACACAGCCCGACACACATGCACCCCTACACGCACTCAGCTCAAGCCCACGTACACTACCGGAACTGACATGCATGAACTTATACGGATGTACGTATATATGTATATGTGTATACATACACATATGCACAGATCTGTTTGAGTTTCTGGTTTTCAAGCTTAGAAGGGCTTGGTATGCAAGGGACCGCTGAAAACCAGAATTTGTGCCACAGAACCTCGCGCGAGGTTGCGTGAGGTTGCGTTGGAAAACCAGGTCTTGGAATAGGAAAACCAAGTCTTGGAACAAGGTCGCGTGAGATTTAAAAATTTAGGATAATGCTATGGGAAACCAACGAGTGTATTGGAAAACCAATTATGGCGAGCGGGAAAACCAATTTTGAATAGGAAACCCCACTGGAAAACCACTTCTGATAATTATGCTTATGTTGTATCACTTCACTCAACCAAAACCATACAAGCTCGTAAAACTTCATTTCCAATGATATCAGTATCGTTGTTCGATACGTATTACACACTGTAACATGTTTTATTCACGAATGTGCATGCATCTAAAACCATGTACAATATATTATGTGTATTATATATATATTATGTAACTTACACTGCTCATGTATCACACATACATATAAATATAAATAAAATCTTTAATGCAGCAGCACGGCATGAGGCAAGACACTTACATTGCATGTAATCAAAACTTTCCCACTTAACCATGGGCTTCCCGGTAGAGTGTTGTGCATGGGTCTGCATGCTGCATGAATGAGCAACTGTATTTTAAGCGTGCCAAGTTGTGTATCGAGAAACAAAACCAAAAACCTGCCTCCCGCTAACAAGCGTTTATACTCTCGTGCGTAATCAGAACTTTCCCGCTTAATGGCCTTCTCCGTAAAGTGTTGTGGGTCTGCTGCATGAATGAGCAGCTGTATTTTAAGCGTGCTAGGTTGCATGTTGAGAAGAAAACCAAAAACCTGCCTCCCGCTAACTAGCGTTGCACCTTGCTTATACTCTCGTGTGTAATCAAAACGTTCCCGCTTAATGGCCTTCTCCGTAAAGTGTTGTGGGTCTGCTGCATGAATGAGCAACTTGTTTTAAGCGTGCTAGGTTGTATATTGAGAAGAAAACCAAAAACCTGCCTCCCGCTAACTAGCGTTGCACCTTGCTTGTACAACTACCAAATAAGTCTTGTGTCGGTAACGTGTTGTGGGTCTGCTGCATGAATGAGCAACTTTATTTTAAGCGTGTCAGGTTGTATATTGAGAAAACCAAAAACCTGCCTCCCGCTAACTAGCGTTGCAGTTTGCTGAAGAGGGATTAAACCAAAAACTTACCTCCCGCTAACTAGCGTGCCAGGTTGCTTACTGAAGGACACACCCAAAATCTGATTCCAAAGCTAGTGCTGAGCCAAATGACTTAACTCCTGCTGGCCCACTTTGCATTGCCAGGTTCATCAGACATGGACAGGGAGTGCAAGAAGCAGAGGATAGATGCAGGTCCCGACCCCCCACTCCATGCAAAGCTTGTGTGCAAATGCTGTTGTGATCGCTTCTATGTGCTGTGCCAGTCTGACTGTCTGCATACTTGATCTCGGGGCAGCTGTTTTGAAGGCAGCTGATTTCAAAGGGTATGATCGGGCCTGCTGTAAGTAGGTCTTGGTCTTGCAACAGCCTCATGGCTGGTAACCGTGTGCTCCAGCTACAGAAGCAGCCAGCTCATCCTGTGCCTGCCGTGCCTTATCGGCAGTCCTGTGTGTGTGTGTGTGTATGTGTGTGTGTGAGTGTGTATGTGGGGCTACATGAACATGGGTAAGTGGGTTGGTAAATACAAGGGTGTGCAAGTAGGAAAGCAATATGTGTGGACGTAATATGTCATGTGTGTGTGTGTGTCTTACTACGACTAAGGTGAAGGAGGAGTTGTATGAGGATGACCCGGAGCTCAGCCCGACGACGGAGCAGATGCTGAGCCAGCTAGATGACTCCGAGGAGTCAGAAGCACTGAAGTCCGAGATCTTGGCAAGTATCTACCCTGCATTTCTTGTTGCTTGCTGTGCAGCATGTGCATGCATGTGACAGTCATGTCGGTTGTGTTGCATCGCTGTTTGCTGTGCTTCTGTATGACACTTGCAAGCAATGTGCTTTCGGCGATGTTGTATCTGTTTCTCTGCATGTGTGGCCGTTATATGTCAGTGTTGTTCATGTGCAGCAGTATCACATTTCAATGTCTAGAAGCAAGTACAATATTGTATCATGTAGTGGCATGGTATATGATTAACCTAAGGTATCAAGACGAGAGCTGCTGCAGTCAAGAAGGAGGCACAAGAGGAAGTGCCAGAAGTCAACTATGAACGAGGCCAGGAAGAGGAAACACGGCCGGAGCACACTGCTCCAGCTGCTGGGCACGAGCCTCCCGAGGGAGGACAAACTTGGGCGCCGAACATCCACAACAGCAAAGAAGAGATGGAAGCAACGCATGCTAAGCAAGCAGCTTACCTCCAGGAGCAGGTTCGACTTGCCGAAGAAAGTCTCAAACAACAGCAGCTGCAGGAACAGTGGAGCTTCCAGCAGAACCTGGCTCTTCAAGCGCAGATGGCTGCTGAGGCACAAAGACAGGCTGAGCAAGAACAGAAAACACAGCAGCAACAGCAGCTGCAGGCAAAGTGCAAGCCCCCACTTCCGGCCAAGAGGATCAACCCTTTGACTGGTGAGGAGTTGGTGTCGAAGCAGATGCCGATCCCTCGCGATGTCGCCCCACCCCCAGCAAATGTGCCAACCCGGCCAAGCACTGAAATCAAGCAGGAGGATGATAACCTGGAGCAGCAGCTCCTCCAGAAACAGAGGGAGATGGAAACGCTTCAAGCAATGATTGCGGACAAGAAGAAGAACAAATCTGCAGATGGAAGTCTGGTCGATAAAGTGAAGAGGGTGGCGGCTGAGGCTGGGCATCCCAGCACGCAACAGCAAGCTGCAGCAGAATACTTAAAGAAGCATCATAATGTGCGACAGTCGGAGCAAGAGCAGCAGCTGCAGACGCCGGGGCCCCATGCCCCCCAGACCCCTCAACTTGGTCGGGTTCGCTCCCCACTCAGCTCTCCGCCACTCCCTCGCAAAGCTGCGCGTGTGGAGGAAGCGTTTCCTCCAGCACCACCCCTTCCGAAAGCAGGGCTTCCGCCCTCCCCGTTGCAGATGGCTTCTCCCGGCCAAGCCATGCCGTTCGCTGCAGCTTTCCCTCCGGCCCCTGCCCCGCAATATCAGATGATGTCCCCGCAGCAAGTGCAACAGAGGCTTCAGCAGCAGGGCATGCAGCAGCTGATGAGCCATCCTCAAGGCCTGCAATGCTTCTCGCCGCAAATGCATATGCAGCAGCAGCAGCAGCAACAACAACAACAACAGATCTTTCAGCAGATGCACCAGCAGCAAGCATTGCAACATCAAGCATTGCATCAGCAGCAACTCATGCAACACAATCATCAGATGATGCAGCAACAAGCCATGCAGCAGCAGCAGCTGGCAAGGCAGCAGTGTGGCCTGCAGCATGCAGGTCTTCTCCAGAGTGGTGGCCAGCATGCTCCAGCCCATCCAACTTTTTTGCAAACGGTCGGCCGGCCAAGTTTGCAAGCGACTGCAGTGCCGACAGGGCAGTCAGTCCCAATGTCACAAGGGCATGTGCAACGGCAAGTGAAGAGCAGTATGCCTGCGCCAGCAGCTGGGCAATCAGAGTCAAAAGATGCTGCAGGGCCACAGCAAGAAGAAGCAGTTGCACAATCGACAGCTGCGGCAGGACAGAAGGCTTCAGATGAACCTCACCCGAAGCCTCCGGTGCCAGAGGCTGTTGCAGTGACGGGACAGACTCACACAGATATTCCGACGGACGAGCAGCCGGGGAAAGCAGAGAAGCAGGCGCCCACCGCGAGGAGGAGTGGGTGACTCATATGCATTGTTATCTTTTTAGTGTGCTGCTGTTGGAAAGATTAGTGTGTGTGTGTGTGTGTGCATGTGCATGTTTTATTTCTGGCTTGTGATGAAAGTTCAGCAAAGCAAGATCACATACACAAGACATGTGAGCAGGATGAGGCAAACAGCAAACATGTAACACACCATGTCTCAGACTTCCTGTTACTGCTGTGCTCGAAGGCTGTGCTGATACCCAAGGCCAGGT